GAGAAAAACGTATGCAGGGAAGTGTAGTATTATTTCATAATTCAAACGTATAAGAATTATTTCATAAAAATGACAACAAAATCAAAAAATAAGATGAAAGAAATATGTAAATTTCTATGCTTACTTGAGAAGAACAAAGGTGACATCTGTTATGCTGTAGAGAGTTATGATTGTCTCGCTTGCATTGGGCGAATAGCGGAAATTGTAAACTAAGAAAACAGCTGCACCCTCCAAAAATCCAAAAATGGCGAACAAAACATTGGCAACATTTGCGACTACTCTCATTGGGGCCAAAAAAGAGTCAAGGTGATCTGTGGGAAGGAACAGATTTTGAATGGATTCATTCACAGATTGATTAGAGAAATTATCCATGGAAAATACGTAAATACAAGTAGAAAAGTAAATTTTCAGTAGAGCAGATTTTTTAGTTTCTAATAAGCGTAAATATTTGGTAACGTACGAAACGCGCGTTTAAAGCATCATCAGTACATATATAGGTGAGCAAATCAGAGAGCAAATGAACTTATTTGGTAAGTTTACTTGGCAGCTAGCGCAGTAAAAAAGCCACTACGTCCAAATAAGGATGTGTACGGATATAGGTATATTAGGCCTAGAAATCTCATATCAGCCTTAACGATGTCAAGACGTGCTATAAAGCAGGAAACAGGAAGCGAGCCCAAATGCTGTTACTAAAAGATACCAAATTTTAACGTTTGGAGAAGCTAAACGTGAAAAGTTGCCTCTTTCCGTACGTGACTTCAAGCTAGATGTTTCAAAGCCATTGACTTGAAGAGAGGAGTACAACTGATAAAAACTGATGCATACTTCCTACTTTATGTATATGCAGTACCAACAAAATTGTCCAATTGTTGTTTTAATGTACCCTAATTTTAGATATCCTTAGTTGATTAACAATGAGCTCACTCAAAAATAAATGAAGGCCTCTATAGAAACCAATTCAAATAGCCTAGCAGAAAGCAAAAAATAGGGCTGAACACCAAAGATTCTAAGCCTCTGTAACAAACAGAACGCCCATTTTTCGGACTTAATCTATTTCCTGATATTAAAAGAAATCTTTTTTGCACTTAAGGTGATTATAAGTTGACGACGAAAACGAAACTGTTCACGCTATTTTCAAGCGCTCGGTAATCAAACTGCAATGCACTGATGAAGTCGGGGAAAGCAGAAGCACATTTTGTTAGCCACTTAATGTCCCACACATTAGTTCCACACATACTTAGTTTTTGTCCCACACATGTTCATGTTTTTGTCCAAATCTAAACGATTTCGTTAGCGTTTTTTTGAATCTCGTAAGCAATTTTATTTTCCTTCCCTAACGAAATCTACCTACAAGTTTCCGACACTATCTATAGAAAACCTAATTTAACGGTTGAACAAATACGATTAGCCAGTCCATTAATCATACCATTTTTTGTCAACTTGTAATGGAAAATGTAGGCTCGCATTTTCCGCCGATTTCCTTTTAAAAAATAAGAATTGCAGCATTGGTAGGAGCTAAATAGCTTGACCAACTTTTAATTTTGAGGTTAAAGTTTTAAGCAAAAGAGACAATTTGGAAAAAGGATAGCACCTTTTTGCAACAAAGTAATCATTGGAGCCCTAGAAAAAAAAACAATCGAATAAAAAAACTTGGGGATTTTTCAATTTTTTTTGAAAAATTTAGCGCAATGTCTTAAGACAATTATTTTTATCCTTTTTTTTGCATTCGGCGTCCCTTTATGAATTTTTTATAACAATATCTATTAGAAATGTTCAATTGAAATTTTAGGTAAATTTTCTGTGCAGAAGCATAAATAATGCAGTCTGAATATGAAGCACAGCAAAAATAGATTTTTTTTGCTGACCGACAAAGCATAAGTGCTCAAACGAATTCCCTAAAATTTTTCAAAAAAGCTCTGGTCCAATCCCAATCATCAAAAACATAAAAGATTTTTAAAGCTTTTCAAAATTTTACTGTTACGTAATAATTAAGACAAATTGAATCAGCCTCTATCCACAAATAAGTAACCAAACTGGCCGCTAACAAAAAGTAAAAAAAAAACAAAAAAAAGTTTTTTGATTATTTTGCGTTTTTTTGCTCAATTTACTTTTTCTTACAGCTTAACTTTTTCGTGACGGAATAAGTTTACAAAATGTAACAAATTTCTGAATCATTTTTTTGTCAACTGAAAAAGCTTATTTACCTCGTTAAAATAAAGGCTTTGAATTTTTGGTGTTCAGCCCTAAGTTTTGCTTTTTACTAAGCTGTTTGAATTGCTAAAACACTGTATTGCTCAAAATTGCTCCAGAAACAGACAACTTTGCGGAACCCGCAGCAAAATATGTGGTATTCGGCACAAATTTGTGGAATCCATGAACATATAAAAATTTATGTGTTTAAACTAAAGCTGTCGCGAATTGCGCAACTGTAAGTGGAATCCGCAATAGAGAGTGGAATCCGCAAATTGTAAGCGGATTCCGCAAATGTAAGTGGATTCCAAAAATTTATGCGGATTCCACTTACAATTTGCGGATTCCACTTACTGTTGCGGATTCCGCAACAGCTTAAGTATACTAAACACATATAATGTTATTTGTTCATGGATTCCACAAACTGGTTCCGGATTCCACTCTTTTTGTCGCGGATTCCGCAAAGTTGCTTGTTATTGGAGCGATTCTGAGCAATACAGTGTTTTTGCTATTTGTCCGTGGAATCCAAAACAGCAGAGAAGATCAAAGAAAAGTAGTAATGTTGCATATTCCGCAAAAAAGACAATGTTTGCCTGTTGCGGAATCCGCTTACAATTCAGAAAAGGCACAGTTTGGCCTCGTAATGCTAAAACAGTCAAAAAACCTTTTTGCGACCTTTTGAGTGGTGACAACAATGAAAGGATTTTGCATATGCTGCAGATAATTATTTTATGAATGCACATATAAGCGCAATCCAAATGTATCAAGAAAACCTCTGTAGCTTTTAGCATTACAAAGAAAATAATAAAAAAAGAATCATTATAAAATCAAAAATAAAAAAAACTTTATAAAAAAGAAGAAAATTAGGAATTCTCCTATACCTTTTTGTTCAATCTATAAAGAAAAAATATCTGCGGAAAGAGCGTGGTCGCTGCACTACCTTCACGTAGCTAAAATTGTTGAATTTTTATTGAAAAATTTTTCATTCAATAATTAAATGTTCCTTCAGAAGTTCTTATGAAATGAATAAATGACACGGGCTATCTTCAAAGTAAAAGCATGTTGCTGTGCAAGTAGCACTGAATTTTCCGATCACATTCTCAAAAATTTACGTTAAAATGTCTCAAAATTGCTAGAGTTTTTCAAATAATATCTCGTAGAAAGTTAGTAAGCCAGGCATAATTGATTATAGTTAGCTTCAAAAAACGCTGAACAAAAAAAAATAAAAAGAATTACCAAAAGCATTTTCAAAAATGTTTCTATTTTTTTTTGAAAACTTATTATGCCAAGAAAACGCTAAAGGAAGCTTCCAAAACTCTTTTAACAAATTTTTTTTTGGTTAATAGTGGCCAATACAATGAACATTATCATTGTTTCATTCGATTGATTTAATTCTTCGAAATTTGCTCAAAATCAAACCGGTTGTTGTCAAAATTGAGAGACTTTTTGATTTTTTGATACCATTTACGTTTTAGTTTTATATATCACGTAACTAATCCAAATTCTTTATAGTACACTGTTTTGCGTGGAAAGCAATCAAAAGCAAACTAAAAAAATCTAAATCACACTCGAGTACGACGTTCCTCCCCTTTTTCAATAGTCGTAAGAATAAATAGCCTGAAAAATGATTATGTATCGGTAGAGCGGTGAATTATTTTAAGATTTATTTAGAAACTGTTCGTGTTTATAGGAGATAGATCGTTTTGTACAAGAAACAAAAAAGTTTGGCCTGACTATTTTCTTTAATTTACACCAAAATGGAAAGTTTATTGTGGGTACGTCAGGTTATCATTCCAAGGACTCTTAAGCTTTTTGTCAAACATTTAACGAACAACATGTACTTGTGAAAAGCAGATAATGTTTTAGAAAGATAAAATTTGTACGTCCCAGCAGTGAATCATTAATGAAACATCACTGATTCTTTGCTGAATCATTCCCGAAACCTCGCTGATTCATCACGGACCAAAAATGAATTTACTGGGGCTGATTCGTCGATGAATCATTGCCGGAATCTCGCTCAAAAAATGTTAATTTTTTTCAGTTGTTTTTGTAGAAATCAGCGTTAATGTATTTGATGAACGTGAACCTCCGAAGAAAGTGTCCATAAAGTTGGGGTTTCAATGATTTAGCGGTTCTTTTATATGCAAGTTCAAAACCTGTAACTTTTTCGCATAATAGCTTCCAGCATTAGCTACCTCTAATAGAAAAATGAAAAAGGCTGTTTCCCATTATAGTTCTTCTTCCTCTTAGTAAAAACAAAAAATTTAGTCACATTATTATTTTTTGTTGAGGCTTTTATGCTGAGGAAGAGGAAAAATAATGGGAAGAAACCTTTCCCATTGTATAGCAGAAAAGGAGTGCGGGGGGCATGGGTGGCGGACGTTCCCGCTTCAGGGATTCGACCCCCTGCCGACCCAAAGGGTCACCCCTTTGATACTTTTTGAAAAATCCATTTTTGGCCAACCGACCCTAAAATTTTTCTAAAGGCGCCTTTGACGCCAATGGTTACTAACTTTGAGGGGGAGCGCGCGCCAGAAAAACACGATTTTTTGTCAACGTTTTTCCAAGTGTGTCCAAAAACGGCACAAAAGCGGCGCAGAAAATTTGGCCAAAACAGCGTCTTTTACTGCTTCAGGAGAGCTCTGAAAATCACTTTGGTCGACCTAAAAAAAAAAAGTCGTCAAAATGTTCAGGGGGCCCTCGAGAAAATCCTAGATCCCTAGATCCGCCCCTGGATATTTTGACTTGAACTGGGTCGACTAAAACAATTTCAATGTCCTATCAAAATTATATGAACGTTTAATTCAGCCAAAATTTTCTGCGCTGCAAGCAATTGTTGGGAAGATGTGGGCGGTTTTCGGAAGTTTTTTTTTGGAAAACAAAAAAGATTTTTCGACCGAAATGGATGCTATTAAAACATAAACCAAAGGGGTTGAAATCCTGATGTGTTAGATGGGATCAGTTTGATCCTTTTTTGCGACGTTTTTGCTAATGTCCCAGGTCGAATTTTTAGATTTTTGTTTCGACCAAGGCGGGCTCAACACATGTAAGAGTTCGATCGAGACCGAGACCGATCTTAGAGGTCGAATTCAAAG